GACCAAGGCCACATTAATTCAACCTCCCCTCCAAAAAAAAAACACAGCATATAGTTTTGTTCAGCTCAGAAAGCAGAAACAAGCAGACTGGTTGGATTAAAGCTCAACATTTTTAAAAACGTGTTAGATTCAAGAGACAATCATAAAAGTTTGAATAAAACTCCAACCTTAAAGTTTTCAGCCTCTTCTTATGATCATTTTTAGGCCCAAGCTCTGAAGCCTGTTGAAACATCAACATTTAATAAATTAATATTTTTTGATGCTAAACAGAACACAGAGGGAGAACCCTGTGAAATATTAAAGGATGTCTTTAAAACAGTGATCTTAATATGAAATCTGTATTTAAAGTTTCTTCCAACCAATGAGTTGTGTTTGCTCAGAGTTTAGCTGAGGAAAGACTGCAGAGATAATTCACGTGCAGAGTTTGGTTTTTAATGCTACGTTTGATCCTYCGCTCAGCGACGAGGCAGGTAACGTGGCCGAGGTCCGACTCTTCAGTGAAATAGTGAAAATGAAGAGTAACACTGTACACTGAAGTCCCTCATTGAGGTTAGAATACATGTTGCCACAAATCAGCAAGAAACAAGAGGAAACTTAACCTGAAACATAAAAAAATGTCYTAAAGCACTTTTAATTAAGGAACASTATATGATTAYAGCTTGAAAATAACAGYTACTGYGTAATAAAACTAAAGTAGTGATCAAAATAAGCTATCTGTAAACAAAAAGCAGGTGTAWAAAACATCTCCTCGGCTTTATTTTTATTTATTATTTTACTTCTTTTTGCACATTAAGCAGTTCAGTTGCATGCAGCTTGAAACGTTGCACAGGTGGACTCTGGATATCCAGTTTCCAGACGCAGAAGTCACAAACAAAATGAAGGAAATCAAAAGGTAAACACTGAACAAAGCTGTGCTCCAAACCCCATCTTTTACAACAAACGTTGTAACAACAGTTTTAGAGAAGCACAGATGTGACAGAAACAGATTATTACACAGTTTGACTGATTGTATTGTTGTCACACGTGCTTTGACTGCTAGCCAACTAGCAGCTATTAGCTATTATTGTAATAGCTGTAATGTCTAATTAGATAGACATACGGGAAACATCTATCCAACTAGCTACTAGCAAGGTAGCTGATTTATCAGTTAGCTTATTAAGTAGTATGGAGTCCGCAAGGYGACATTGAAGGATGTTTTTGTTTTGAGTTACCTCACAATAATTTTTGCGTTACCTCAAAAATCACAGTCACGCATGGATACATATGTAGATATATATAAAACAAAATATAGATATTTAACTCTGTGCATTCTGCTAAGGAGCGCCAAGTGTAAAATAAAATGTTAAAAAATGTCACTAACATATTTTCATTATTTAGCTCACTTTCTGAGTGTAATATCCTCCTTAAAAGTTTTCCACTAACATTTTACTGTTATTTAGCTCACTGTTCTTATGTTTTGCTTATTTTTTACTAAATACTAAATTGTTAAATTCTAAATGTAAATGGTAAATGTTGTGGCTAAATGTTAAATTTTACATTTCAGTATTTGAGTACGGAGCACACAGCCTCTGTTGTGACATCATCATTCTGCGACAAAAAACAAATGTTAACTCTGCTAATACTGTTGCAGATTAAAAATTTAAATTTAAAATGTGTTCATTGAAAACAATATGGCTGCAACTGCAAGTGTGATAACTTGTCTATCTTGTAGGGAAGCGTTAGCAGCTTTAGCAGGGTTAGCACCGTTAGAAGTAGCTTTTGTCCCTTGATGCCCCTTAGCCACGCAGCATCGCCATCAACTTCCCTAACTTGTGATGAAACATCCAGTTTCTGTAACTGGATATTTCAAAACAAAAGGCTCATTCAATACTGCCAATACAAAACATTACAATTACCTGCAGAACGCAAAACTTTTTGTGTGGAAACACAAAAGTTAGTGCGAGGTAAGAAAAAATGTCTCAATGTCCCCTCAGGGGCTCCGTAGAATCTTATTAGCTTGCTAATAAGATTTCTATACATACAGTATACATGTCTATATATAGTTACAATATCTTATTGTGAATTAGCTTTTGTTTACTAGATAGATAGATAGATAGATAGATAGATAGATAGATAGATAGATAGATAGATAGATAGATAGATAGATAGATAGATAGATAGATAGATAGA